TAAAAAGAAAGATTTAAAAAAATAAAAATAAAAAATAATAAAATTCTTTTCCAGTCCTGGCCGGTGAGGCTTGGTTGGAGTGTTGTCCCTTACACCGAAAGGTCATGGGTTCAATTCCCAGTCAGGGCACATACCCAAGTTGCGGGTTTGATCCCTTCAACCAAGCTATGTTTTTCTCTCTCCCTCTCCTTTCCCCTCTCTCTAAAATCAATAAAAACATATCCACCTGTCAGGATTAAGAAAAAACCCCAGCCCTAGCCGGTTTGGCTCAGTGAATAGAGCGTCAGCCTGCAAACTGAAAGGTCCCAGGTTCGATTTCGGTCAAGGGCACATGCCCGGGTTGCAGGCTCGATCCCCAGTTGGGGGCTTGCAGGAGGCAGCCGATCAATGATTCTCTCTCATTATGGATGTTTCTATCTCTCTCTCCCTCTTCCTTCCTCTCTGAAATCAATAAAAATGTATTTTTTTAAAACAGGAAACAACAACAACAAAACTTCCATAACAGCATGGTGTGCCATCATGGGGATGACCCACATCCATTTAATCATCCATATATTAATGGCCATTCAAGTTTCTTTCCTCTTTTTGTTAAATAATGCAGCACCAAACATTCTTTATTTTTTAATCATCGCCCAAGGATATATTTTTTTTAACTGATTTTTACAGAGAGAGAGGGAAAGAGAAACATTGATGTGAGAGAGAAACATCGATGGATTGCCTCCCATACACACTGTGATTGCACCCTGACCAGGATGGACCTGCAACCCGGGTATGTGCCCTGACGGGGAATCGAACCCATGACCTTTTGGTGCATGGGTTGACACTCAACCATTGAGCCACACCAACCGGGCAAACCTTAAGAAGTTGAATATTTCCTATAAATAAATAAATAAATGAAATGAAAAAATGAAATAAATAAATAATTAAAAAAGAATTGGAATATTGAAAAGTACTGCTTCATTTCAAATGTTTCATGAAAGTTAATTTAGTTTTTTATTAAATTCACTTTCATAAAACATTTTTTGCCTAACAGATTTAACATAACAATGTGGTGCCTACTGAAATTATTTGCTTCTCCCTGGATATTAATCCTTATGGTTTTTGTTGTTGTTGTTGTTGATTAGGTGGATGAGCTTTTAGACAAGTACATGGACTCTTATGATATTGTTCTAGTCAAAGAAGAATCCTTGGAGGTAGCCAACTCTATCTTACAGAAGATCCTGTATAAGTGAGCATTCTTCAAGGAGACGCCTGTCCTGTGGGTGCAACGGATGCAGGAACCGCTCGTGTGTTCAGCGTGTGAAAGACTTTTATTTATAACATATCCTTGCTCAGCCATGCTGAATCCATCAACCGGAACCTCCTTGTTTTCTGCCTCTCTCGACACACTCCTCACCATATTTTTTAACATTAAAAAAAAAAAAAATCTTAAAGTCAAAATTTGAAAAAACTGCCTACATTTCCAGAGTGAATTTTGCAATTTATTGTTAAGAAGTTTTTGAGGAGTCTTTTTACGTGTGTGTGATTTTAAGTATTGACATTTTTGTGATTTGAGTGAATTATGCTGATGGTATCACCATCTCCTAAAATTGTGTTTGTTATGTTTTTGGGGGGAAATTGAAACTTACAAGAACATACTAGCACATGGTGTTGGAAAAACTTGGTATCCAAAAGTCACTAATCATAAAATGTTCTGTATTGATGCACTGATAATAAACATGAAATGAAAAGTCTTTTTGATTCTATTGGCAAGACGATCATTCATTCATTCAACAAATACTTATTCGGCACCTGCTGGGTTTATCTTGTATGTGTTTGATAACTTGCAGTCAGGCCAACTTCCCTGCCAAAATGAAATTTTTTTTTCTGTCTTAAGTGATAATTTTGAAAGGCTGTATAGCCCTGGCCAGTGTGGTTCAGTTGGTTGTCACACTCAGGTTGCTGGTTCAATTCCTGGTCAGGGCACATGTTTGAATTATGGGCTCGATCCCCAGTCAGGGGTGTGCAGGACACAGCCGATGGATGGTTCTCGCTCATCGATGTTTCTCTCCCTTCCCCTTCCTTTCTTTCTCTAAAATCAATAAAAACATATTTTTTTAAGGTATCCAAAAGTCACTAATCATAAAATGTTCTGTATTGATGCACTGATAATAAACATGAAATGAAAAGTCTTTTTGATTCTATTGGCAAGACGATCATTCATTCATTCAACAAATACTTATTCGGCACCTGCTGGGTTTATCTTGTATGTGTTTGATAACTTGCAGTCAGGCCAACTTCCCTGCCAAAATGAATTTTTTTTTTTCTGTCTTAAGTGATAATTTTGAAAGGCTGTATAGCCCTGGCCAGTGTGGTTCAGTTGGTTGCCACACTCAGGTCGCTGGTTCAATTCCTGGTCAGGGCACATGTCCGAATTATGGGCTCGATTCCCAGTAAGGGGTGTGCAGGACACAGCCGATGGATGGGTCTCGCTCATCGATGTTTCTCTCCCTTACCCTTCCTTTCTCTCTCTAAAATCAATAAAAACATATTTTCTTAAAAAGAGAAAAGAAAAGCTATATAAATTCCTAAGTAATCCAAGATCAAATGCACTAGATTTTAACAAAATAGTGCAGACTGCTTATGCTTGCAAAGTAGCCTCATGGTTTGTTTGTCTATAGAGAGGAAGGGGGAGAGAGAAACGGCGATTTGTGTTCCACTTACTTATGCATTCACTGGTTGATTCTTCTATGTGCCCTGACCGGGGATCGAACCTTGGTGCACCGGGACAGCACTCTAACCAACTGGGCTACCCAACCAGGGTGCCTCGTGATGTTTCAAGCACACAGGTCACATGCATGCTTAGATGTCAGATTCTCTAAGATACTCTAACCCCCCACTAGCATCGAAGACGTAGTTCATCTTTCAGGCCCAAAGTTCAAAACCTGTGTCATAAGCCAGGTGGTCCTAAGGCCGTGGTCGGCAAACCACGGTTCGCGAGCCACATGCGGCTCTTTGGCCCCTTGAGTATGGCTCTTCCACAAAATACCACATGCAGGCGCGCACGTACGTTGCGATTGAAACTTCGTGGCCCATGCGCAGAAGTCGGTATTTTGTGGAAGAGCCGGTATTTTGTGGAAGAGCCACACTCAAGGGGCCAAAGAGCCGCATGTGCCTCGCGAGCCACGGTTTGCCGACCACTGTCCTAAGGCAGAGACTGGCCATCTGTTCTATCAGGAGGTCCAAGCTGCCTCAAGGGGCAACACAGAAATCGAGTGTGAAATGTGATGAAGGAAAATGCTGTGTGTGGCACCTCCACCCTCTGTTTGGGCCTCATTAGTACTCACGGCCTTGGCGGGCAGAGCTGTAACCCATAATCATAATGCAAATGTGAGCGAGTGTTGCCGCAGCTTCACAAAGTGAGGCCAGCCAAGCGCACGGAGTCCCTAGGTTGCTTCTGCAAAAAGTAAGCACCGTTTGATTTTTAAAAACATACATGTATTTCCCCCTATACATGCCCATTGTTCTCCATTTGCTCCCACCCCAACCCCTGTTCATTCTCCACCTTTCTCTGCTTCCAAAGAGGCTGATCTCTAACACCAGCTTTTCCTCTGTTTCGGACTGGGTTCAGCGACTGGGAGCCAGTGGCAGGGCAGAGGACAACCCCCGCCCCCCCCAACTGCTGCTGCCCCAGCCACAGCTCCGGACGTGCCTCAGGCCCTGTCTACGCTCCCCTTGACCCTCAGGCCCAGGGAGAAGCAGCCTCCTGCTGTTGCTGCCACCAGCCGTCCCGGGTACCTGGACATTCTTACTGAGTCCCAGAGTCCTGTGCACACCTCTACGAACAGTCCTGTCATTATCCTCCCTGCAGAAGTCCCTAGGAGGGCGTTTCCCGCCAGGACCCTGAGCCTACACCCTCTAACTCTCTCCCAAGTCAACACAGCGAGGTCCTGCGAGTTCTGATCCGGGGGATTCTGACTGCACGGTATATTCCCACGGGGTCCTCTCCGCCTTCCAAGAAAACACCACAAAGCCTGGTGAGAGAATTCAACGTTTTATATACGAAAAGATGGGTTTTCCAACATTCAATTGAACGAGTGCGTGGCGTTTTCATGGACTACCTCAGAGCTACATCAGTACAAAACAGTTTAAATTAGTAACAGAAAGCCGTTTCAGAAGGAAAAGCGTGGGTCACTTCGGGGAGGGGAGGCGGTGCCATCACCGGTGGGGAACAGAGGAGATAAGGCAGCAAGGTGTTCACTGCACAACGTGGACGGGCCGCCAGGGGCAGGGTCCTTGTTACGCAGAGCAAGGCCCCGGGTCTCGGGGCCCTCCCTCTCCAGGAGGCAGAGGAGCAGCCTGTCCCCTTGTTTATGCTCATTGGCTGGGAAGACATGGCCACCTGGGCCACAGGGAGGTGCTCTGCAGCTTGGCTTGGCCGCCAGCCCTGCACGCATCTATCTGATCAAAGGACTCGGCGCAACGGGGCAGAGTGACGGGGCTGAGACAGCGAAGCAGGTGCTCTCGCGTGGCAGACGCAGTCAGGTTCTCTACCCGTGGGCCTCCATGCCTTTTGTGTGGTCCCCAATTTTTCACCTCCAAGCTACCCAACCAATCGGAGGACCACAAGGGCATGGGGTGATGAAGTAGAAAAGCGTGTGTGTGTGTGTGTGTGTGTGTGTGGAGGAGGAGGAGGAGGTGGAGGCTGGGCCAACCAGAAGGTACTGTACAGGCCGCTGAGAAGTTTTCGGGGGCTTTCTGGGAACCCCACTAGGCATGCCCTTTGCTTTTCCTGCCCGTCCGGACAACGCTTATAAAACACCAGCAAGTTAAAAAAAAATTTGTCTTAATCCTCTTTACACAGATATCCTGGATTTTTTCTTCTGTTCCCTGCAGGATGGTTATAACTTCTATACGACTCTATTTTCCCTTAATAACAAAACTACCCAGAAGGCCCGCAGAACATGGTTGGCAGTGCCGCCTTTTCAGTATCCCACACAGCCCGTGCGAAGGCCCCTCGCACCGATTCAGCCTAACACCCTGGCGTTCGGCCTAAAATTCTCACGTGTGTATTGACCCAGCCTTGATGTGTGGCCACCTGCACTTGCTGACAATTCACCTTCTGAGAGAGCCTGGCGCCCTCCCAGCACGCTCCGCCGCCACGGGGCTTGGTGTCACACACGGGGCTCCTCAGGCTCAGAGTTCATCGTGCTTGGCCTCCTGGTCTTTGAGCTTGAACTCCTCGGCCGTGACCTTGCCGTCTGCGTTGCGGTCCTGGTTGGTGAACATATTCTTCACAATCATCTCAGCATCAAAGCCGGGAGCGAGCTTCCCTTTGCCGGATGCCACCTGGGCATGAATGTACTCCGAGAACTGGAAAGGGGAGGGACAGGCTCAGACCCAAACAGAATGGGGTTTGCATCCGAGCTGGCAGAACAGGAAATCCTCTGAGCTACACAACCTGGGTTTTCCCCTCCAGATGCGGGTTAGAAACTGCCGACTGAGTGACTCCAGCAGCCCTTAGGTTCCAGGCGGGCAACCCCGTGGCTGCTGGAGCTCCCCCTCCCCCTAAATCAGCCCTTCGTTCTTCACAAAGACGGGCCCCTGACCACCCAGCTCCGGAGAACACTGCTGCCCACGCTCATTCATTCACACAAGAAAAATGTATCGTCTACTGTGTCCTAGAGCTACATCAACACAAAAACAAAACTTCCTGCATCTGTAACTCCAGCATATTCTGGTAGGAAAGACGCACAATTAAAAATGAGCATAAAAAATAAGCTCCCTATTAAGTAAGAAAGGGAAATGCTCTAGAAAAACAAACAAGTAGAGCCAAGTAAGGAAGATCCGAAGTCCCAGTGGGCAAGGGGGTTGAAGTATGAATTCGGGATCAGGGTCCGACACAGGGACAAAGGGAGACTTGCGCAGAGGCTTGAAGGAAGCGAGCGGAGGTGCCAGTTGTCCAGGGCAAGTGCCTTCTGGGGCAGAGAGGAGAGCGGGTGTGAAGGTGGGTGGGTGCCTGCCAGGTGTTCACAGACCAGCCCGGGGAGAGGAGGCCACAGCGAGCAGGCTGTGGAAGGACTCTGAAATAGGGGGTTCTGCAGGGGTCTGAGTCGAAGCAGGCCATGATCCGACTTGTGGATCAGATCAGAGGACAGACTCCTGAGGAGCTACCAGTGAGGTGGAAGGAAGACGAAGCAGGTGAGGGGTTCTGGAAGGCGGGGGAAGAAGGTGGCGTGCGAAGGAGTCAGCTGTGTCGAGGTAAGAGAGTGAGGACCGACCACTGGACTCAGCAATAGGAAAGGCACCGGTCCCCTGGCAAGACCAGGTGCAGTGCTACTGTGAGCAAGCCAGTCGCCGGGGAGATGCTGACGGCGTGAGAGAAAGGGGAGAAGGCTGGGGCGATGTCCCTGCACGAGCAGGCGTGGAGCAGGTGGGATGGACGGCAGCAGGGTTGTGACGGACAGAGGACTCTACTACCCAGCTCCACCAGGGTGTCTGCTACAGGAGGCACAACACTAGATGCTCAAACAGGGGTGTGGGTCCTGGCTCCCACCACTGGGGAGCTGGGTGACCTGGGGCAAGTCATCGACCTTCTCTGTGCACAGCTGCTTCCTCTGAAAACTAGGGATGATTCCGTGACTGTCGTAAGGGCCAAGCAAGGTAACAGATGGGAAAACAGCACGCCAGGCACGCAGCGAGCACCCAGGAACTGGACCTGACCCAGAGCCGAGACCCTGGAATCAGTCCCTGTAGCTCTCAGTTTCTGCAAAGAGCTTCGATTAGAGCAGCAGTTCTCAGCCTGTGGGTCACGACCCCTTTGGCGGTCGAACGACCCTTTCACAGGGGTCGCCTAAGACCATCCTGCATATCAGATATTTACATGACGATTCATAACAGTAGCAACATTACAGTTATGAAGTAGCCACGAAAATAATTTTATGGTTGGGTCACAGCATGAGGAACTGTATTTAAAGGGCCAGAAGGTTGAGAACCACTGGATTAGAGCGTGCGTGTGAGAGCGCTTGGTGCTTGTGTGTGGAGGGTCTCACCAGCACAGAGATGAACACAGGTGTCCTCCCGCTGCTGGGAAGGCTCCCGGGCCCAGGACGGCTCCCTGGGCTCCTCTGGTCCCACCTGCCTGCAAAGGTCAGTTACCTCTTCCAGGAGGACTTCTCCGTTGCCGTCCTTGTCGATTTCTTCA